GCCCCCAAGGGTGGTTTCTCCTTTCCCCTTCCCTCAGGCTATCCCATCCCATCTCAGCCTGCTTTCTCCTTTCCCCTTCCCGTCGCCGCTGTTCGCATCGCGAGGATGGTTGTGTGGTTGGAGTTGGTTGGGAAGAACCCTCAGCTTCGGCTGGTTACGGCGAGCTCGAGGGAAACGCAGCCTCGGGGCTGGGGAACCGGCAAGGCAAGCGAAAAGTTTCAGGCGAACACGCCGCAGGGATTAGCCGGGCGGGGCGGTGTCAGACAGAAGAAGTTAGAACCATTTTGGAGGGAAAACCGGAGGCGAGGTTCGTTGCGGATGAAGGGGACATGGTGGGTTCGTGATCGATATTACGACGTTGATTTGATTTCAGTGAAAACTGTATCTACAGAAAGACCTGCAATATTGTGGAAATAGCTGCAACATTAGTTACCGGTACTTGTCTTGTCTTCCTGCTTGATGTAGCTAATGGTTGTGAACCTGCTTACCAAGCACGCCTTGGCAACTGGTGCCAGATGCTGTGTTTTGTTGCCCATGGAGTGTGCATAGGCAGCGGCTAATGCAGGCATGTCATGGCAAAAAATGACCAGAATATTGTTGTGCTACTGGTTGGCCAGTTAGCTGGCAGGATGGACGGCTGGCTGGTTGGAGTGTATTGCCGCTTGGCTGATAAACTGGTTGGTTGACTGTCTGACCAGCTTGCGTCTGTTGAGTGTGGCACGGTTGTCAGGACAAAGATTCTTCGCCAGGCTGCATGGCTAGTTGTGGGCAATAAGCGACGCTGTAACTGACAGTTTGGGCACTGGCACCTCTCGCACTCTCGCTGTAGGCGCTAGCGTGGGATGGATAGCTGTTGTGCCTGATGTGATGCATCTGGTGCCTGATGTGTGGGTGCTCTGGACCGTCGCTTTCACCCCATCGAGGCTCTGTGTGCTTCCCCTCACCCTCACTCGGCGCTGTGTGCATGTGCCCTGCCATGTGGTGGAACCTCACTCGCTGTCGATTGGCCGGTAGCAGCCAAGTCCTCCCCGTGCCAGTCATCAGCCAAGTCATCGTGCCAGTCATCTGCAGGAGGACGCTCTGCCCTGCATGGGCCCAGGCGCCTTCCAGGCTGCACGCACACCCACCCCACCCACCTATTCAATATCATGCAGACACATGCAGCACAGCACAGCGCAACACACAGCACAATTAAACACACCTACGCATAGCTACACATGCAGCAGAGAACAGCAAGGAGAGCAGCAGTAGCCAGAGGCCCTTCACTGCTTGTTCACCCCTCCACTGCTGCTGCTGTTCCCGCAGCTCTGGATGAAAGGTGCTTCACTTCTGATGATGAAACAAGGGAGTGCAGAGAAGACGAGAGGGCAGGACAGAGGGGTTTGAGGGCTCAGAAGAAACGCGTGCACCAGTGGCAAAATTTCAGAGGAGAAAGCAGAAAGAACATGCAGTACAAGTGATGCAGAGCATATATTTTGGCAACGGAAAAGAGTTTGGTGGAGAAGATACTTGGTTGGAGAGTCAAGGAGCCATTGCTACTGCTGCTCCCATGAGTCGGCCAGGAACGAAGCCCACACGCATGTGAACCACCGTCCCCTCCCTGTCCTTTGCCTTGCAGGCAGTGAGGCACACACACGCACAGGGAGAGACGCACACAACAGACACAGACGCGGCACCAGAAGGGAAGGGTTAGAAGCAGCAAAAGGCGAGCGGTGGAGGAGGCAAGGGCAAGAGACACGACTCTTGCCTCTGCGCGGCGACGCTCTAGGACTCACTTCACTGCCCCCCCGCAAGCATCCCCTGGCACGTACCACCGCTGTTGCTGCTGACAGTGCTTTAGGTTAGGTGCTCCAGGTTAGGTTGCTCCAGGTTAGGTGCTCCAGGCTAGGTGCTCCAGGTTAGGTGCTCCAGGTTAGGTGCTCCGAGTTAGGTGTCTCAGGGCGCTCGGGTGCTGTGGTTGTTGCTCTTCTCGTTACCCCCTCTGCGTCGCTGCCTGTGACGCTCGTGAAACACGTTGATGCCACACATCATGCCACACCACATGCACCCATGCACATCTGCATCACACGGCCACTCGCTCACAGGCTAGGAAGCACACGATACAGACACCACAGACGAACGAGAGACGCACACACACGCAGAAGCAAACAAAAAGGGGGGAGGGTTAAAAGCAGCAGGATGCGAGTGATGGAGGCACGGGCAAGAGACACGACTGTTGCCTCTGCGCGGCGACTCAATTCACATCCCCCCTGCAAGCACCCCCTGGCACATACCTCGCTCCGCCCGCCGCTCTGCCGCTCCTGCTCCACGCCTTCTCCCCACGCAGCACCACCCTGCTGCTACCCGTGGCCCAGGCTGCGCGTAAGCATCAGCTGCTGCACCGGGGTGCTGCTGCAGCCGTGCTCCCATCGCGACCCTCTCTGCGTTGCTGCGTTGGTTCCCAGAGAGCGCAAAGAGACAGCGAGAGAAAAGGGGCGAGGGAACATGAAATTAGATAGACAGACACCCAAGGATTCATGAAGAGAAGAACGAGCAGCAAGGACAAGGGTGAAGGGCGACGGGAAAGACATGGGAGCCTGGATAAGAGCATAGACGGTATTAAAACAACCAGCACAGAGAGGAAACTTGGAAGAACTAGCGTAAGCTGTACTCACTCATTGCATTGCTGCTGCTGCAACCACTGCAGCTGCCATTAACGTTGCCACCACTGCCACAGCTGCTGCAGATGCTGCTGGGTCGAATAAAAGGTGCGGCCGTTCACTGCTGCTTACCCCTCCACTGGTGCTGCTGCCCCCACAGTGGCCCATAGTACCGGCTCATTTCTGACGATGAAAGAAGGGGAGCGGAGAAAGGGGGAGGGCAGGAGAGGAGGGAGTAAGAGGCGTGATTAACTGGAACACACGGCTGCTGTGGCACAGTAGGCAAGACACAACGGCACGGCCGGAAGCATGAAAGGGGAGATGCAGAAGTGGCATGCTGATCCACTCACCACTCCTTGTGTGCTTGCCATGATCCTGCAGTTGCCCTCAGTTGCTGCTGCCACTGCCGCCTTGAGCACACACAGGCACCCGCACACAAGCACCCCTCAGCTTTCCCCCCCCCCTCCCCTCCACACACACGCACAGGAACCAAGCCCGCACGCACATTCCCCCCCCAACCCTGCCACTCCCCACCGTCTCGCCAGGCACACACACGCACAGGGAGAGATGCACACAACAGACATAGAAGCAGAAGGGAGGGTTAGAAGCAGCAGGAGGCGAGTGGAGGAGGAGGCAAGGGCAAGAGACACGACTGTTGCCTCTGCGCGGCGACGCCCTACGACTGACTTGACTGCCCCCCCTGAAAGCACCCCCTGGCACGTACCTCTGCTGTTGCTGCTGACAGTGCTCCAGGTTAGGTGCTCCAGGTTAGGTGCTCCAGGTTGCTGAAACCCATGGTGCTCCAGGGTGCTCGGTTGCTGCAGTCGTTGCTCTCGTCGTTACCCCCTCTGCGTAGCTGCTCTATCACTCTTGAAACACCCTGACTGTGCACACCATGCCACACCACATCCACCAAGTCACAACTGCATCACATGGCCACTAATGCACAGGCTTGGAATCAGCATATGATACCGACACGCATAGAGACACTCACAGGAAGAGACGCACACACACACACAGAGAAGCAAAAAAAGAAGGGAGGGTTAAAAGCAGCAGGAGGCGAGTGATGGAGGCAAGGGCAAGCGACTGTTGCCTCTGCGCGGCGACTCCTACAACTCAGTTCACTGCCCCCCCTGAAAGCACCCCCTGGCACGTACCTCCATGTGCACTCGTTGCTCTCCTCGCCACCCCATCTGAGTCACCAACGCTGCTGCTGTGTGTCCGCCAGGAACGAACGAAGCCCGCACGCATGCCACGGCCCCTCCACTCCCCCTGCCATTGAACTCCGTCTCACAGACAATGAGACACACACACGCACGGGGAGACGCACAGACACAGCAGCGACGCGCCACACACACAAGAAGGGAGGGTTAGAAGCAGCAGGAGGCGAGCGGTGGAGGAGGCAAGGGCAAGAGACACGACTGTTGCCTCTGCGCGGCGACGCCTACTTCAGTGCCCCCCTGCAAGCACCCCCTGGCACGTACCACTGCTGTTGCTGCTGACAGTGCTCCAGGTTAGGTGCTGCCGGTTGCCGAAACACACTGACGGTGCTCCAGGGTGCGTGGCTGCTGCAGTGGTTGCTCTCCTCGTTACCCCCTGCGCGTAGCGTAGCAGCCTCCGACGCCCGTGAAACACACTGACGGTGCTCACCACGCCACCCCGCATGCACCAATGCACATCTGCACCGCTCGGCCACTCATGCACAGGCTTGGAAGCACATCATACAGACACGCATGGGGAGAGAGAGACACACACAGAAGGGCACAAGAGAGGAGAGTTAGAAGCAGCGGGAGGCGAGTAATGGAGGCAAGGGCAAGAGACACGAGTGTTGCCTGTGCGCGGCGACTCCTACGACTGACTTCCCTGCCCCCCTGCAAGGACCCCCTACCACGTACCTCGCACCGTCCATTGCACTGCCGCTCTGGCTCCACGCTTTGGCCCCAAGAAGCACCACGCTGCTGCTGCTGCCCGTGCTCCAGGCTACTCCCAAACACACCCACGGTCGCTGCTGCTGCTCCAGTTGCTGCAGTCGTTGCTCTCCTCGTTGCCCCCAATGCGTCGCTGCCTGCGCACGCTGCTGAAACGCACTGAAAGATGCACACCATGCCACACCGCATGCACCAAAGCACAGCCGCATGGCATCACGCGGCCAGCCATGCACGGGCGTGGATGCCAGGAGGCACACACTTGCAGACACACGCATGCATGCCATGCCATCACAGAAACAGACACACAACGTAGTAGCTTGTTAGTTGCGGTAGGAAGACGGACGGAGACCAACGAGGGAGGAAGCAGACCAAGACTCTGCGCAGGCGGCGCTCTACGACCCACTCGCCCCCTCAGAAGCTCTCCCCGTCGCACTTACACCAGATCCGACTCGCTTTGACGGCTGAACACCAGATCCGACTCGCTTTGACGGCTGAACACCAGATCCGACTCGCTTTGACGGCTGAACACCAGATCCGACTCGCTTTGACGGCTGAACACCAGATCCGACTCGCTTTGACGGCTGAACACCAGATCCGACTCGCTTTGACGGCTGAACACCAGATCCGACTCGCTTTGACGGCTGAACACCAGATCCGACTCGCTTTGACGGCTGAACACCAGATCCGTCGCGCTTTGACGGTTGAACAGCAGATCCGCCGCGCTTTGACGGCAGAACAGCAGATCCGTCGCGCTTTGACGGCTGAACAGCAGATCCGCCGCGCTTTGACGGCAGAACAGCAGATCCGTCGCGCTTTGACGGCTGAACAGCAGATCCGTCGCGCTTTGACGGCTGAACAGCAGATCCGCCGCGCTTTGACGGCAGAACAGCAGATCCGTCGCGCTTTGACGGCTGAACAGCAGATCCGGCTCGCTTTGACGGCTGAACAGCAGATCCGTCATGGAAGCCCGTCCATGTCTCGTCCACTCGCTGCCGTGACCGTCCATCTCGCAGGCCGGAAGGCACACACACGTATGCGGAGAGACGCAGCCACGCAGAAACAAAGCAACACGGGAGGGTTAGAAGCAGCAGGTGGCGATTGGTAAAGAAGCAAACAAGAGACACGACTCTTGCCTCTGCGCGGCGACGCCCTACGACTCACGTCACGGCCCCCTGCAAGCACCCCCTGGCACGTACCGTGCTCCGTCCGCCGCTGTGACGCTGCTGCGCCATGCCTTTTCTTGAGGCGTCACGCATGGCTGCGCCAGGCTGCTCGGTCGTTGCTCCCGTCGCGACCACCACGTGTGCGTCCTTGTGTCTGACGCTCCTGCAACACACTGATCATGCATCACACGACCACTCACGCGCACGCTTCGAGGCCATGAGGCAGGCACACACACACGCGTGCATGCCAGCAACAGAAACAGAGACAACACGAAATTGGTGGTTGCTTGCGGTAAGAACGGGAAATTCTGCGCTTAACCAAGACGATCTGCTCTCCCCCGATGAAAGCTCTTCCCATCGCACTTACAAGGCCTAGCGCGCTCTGCATCTTCGTGCGGCGGCAGGAACTGCAGCGACGTCGCTTGAACGGCGGAAACAGCAGCTCCGTCGCTTTGACGGCAGAAACGGCAGTAACGGCAGTAACGTTGATTTGACGGCGGTTCACCGCGGAATATCAGCGACTTGGCTCTGACAACGCCACGCTTCCACACGCACGGGGAGACGCACACACACAGACGCAGGGCAAGGCGACAAGAAGGGAGCGTTAAGAGCAGCAGGAGGTGAGTGGTGGAGGGTAGGGCAAGGGATACGACTGCTGCGCGGCGACGCCCTACGACTGACTACATCGACCCCCCCGCAAGCACCTCCTGGCACGTACCGCGCTCCGCCCGCCGCACCACGAGACTGCGCTGGCTGTCAGAAAATGACGAGAGCATGAAGCGTCGTCGCGTGGTCGAGTCTCTCCTTCCATTCGACGGCCACGTGGTCGACTATTGTCTGCGGTTATGAGAGCGACGCCTGAAGCGGAGAGCGAAGACGGAAACGGAGAGCGACGGCGACAGCAGGTAGCGTGTCCATTTCCGCGACCAGTAGCGGGCTGTTGCGTCGATGTACGGTCAGCGCACGAGGTGATTGCTGAGTCTACCTGAATCGCACCTACGTCTGTGGCACAAGCGACGCCGAGGAAGCGAGGTGGGTAACGCTTCTATAAGCGACGAAACAACCGCTGGAACGAAATACTCGACCGCCTGCGACGATGCGACGAGAACGGCGACTGAGAACTTCAGGATCATTGGCGTCTGTCGCGACGCCCCGACGACTAAGCTATCCTGACATGCGCCGAAGGTTGTCTTCAAGTCCGTCCGTCTACGGCTACCACATATCTCAAAAGTTGCTCTGATGGTGGAAACAGCGGCTCGTTCTCTTGACGGAGTGACGACGCTTGACGATTTGTCACGCGTCTCAACTCGAAAACCGGCTGAACTTTCTAGTATCCGCTTGAACAGCAGCCGCTTACAGGCCGTGAGAGAGACGCTCGCAGACCGACGCGCTCATGCACAAAACAAAACCACAGACAAGAGGAGAACAAGACTAGGTTAGTAGCAGCAGGAGAGGAGCAAGCGACCAAGGCAGCAAGCAACTGACTGACGACTCTGCGCTGGCGGCGCTCTACGACCGACTCTCTCACCCCCCCAGCTACTTCCACGGCACTCACCAGGTCAAGCCCAGTCCGCTCTCCTCGCGTGCGCGATATCATGCTGCGAGGCGAGTTGACTTTTGAGTCGACTCAACGGTCTCCTCGTATGCGCGACAGCGTGCTGCGACGCGGAGCAGCCACCGCCGCGCCACGAGACTCTGCAGACCGTCAGAAAACCACGTGGTCATGCAGCGTCGTCGCCTGGTTGCGGCTATAAGAGCGACGCCTGAAGCGGAGAGCGACGACGGAATCGGGTAGCGACGACGGAAACGGAGACCGACGGCGGTACTATGTCCGTTTTGGCGACTAGCAGCGGACTGTCCATGTCTGTGCACGTCACGAGGTGACTGTCGGGCCGACTTGGTTAGCATCCACGTGTGCACAAACTAAGTCGAGAGAGCCGGGTGAACCACACGGCGAAACAACCGCTGGAACTAAGAAATCGACCGCCTCTGACGATACGACGATTACGGCGTCTAAGAACTTCAGTAATATTGACGTCTGCAACTACAACTTATCCTGACATCCTCCAAAATGTCTGTCCAAAAGTAAGTCCGCGTGTTAGTGGTGCGATGCATCTTAACATCCGCCTACGCCATCCGTCTAACCATCTCATCTCATCCTCTGTGCTAAGATCTACGGTTATCCCCGTTTCACACGACCGATAATAGTGTCAGCTGTGTCAGGAAACTAAAGCGGTTACTAAGTCGAGAGTGACCGTCATCAACTGGAAGAATGGCTTAGTAAGTCGTGGAAGAGGAGCGAGAGAGGGAAGAGAGAGTCTCAAGGGTGTGCCATCCAGGCCTGTCGAAGTTCCTGGGGCTCGTACTTGCGCTCCCCAGCTCCTCCCCATCTGACCCTTGGTTGGGTGTAGGTGAGCGTTTTGGCGCCCTTAACGGGCACGGGCGCACCCCAAAGTGAAAACTTGAAATCCGGGCATGTACGAAGTTTGCACTACACTGTATTTGGTTAAGCGAGAGAGCTGCTACGCTAGAGTGCTTCAGTTCCTTTGACGTGCTAAGGGAATGTTCGGGTGCTCCAAGGCTGACTGAGACACACTACACACACGAGATTGGCTAGAAAACGCTAAGGGAAAAATCCCCTCCGCGCGCTCTCGAGCAGGCTAAGGAGAAAGAGGGGGGGGGGGTGGGGGTGGTTGACTCTGACACCCTGGGGTGGGGGGGATCCAACTATCGGAAACCAAAACTTAGATAAATTGGAAGGCCTGGTTTCGTCCCTTAACGCATCCGGGGAAGGGTCAAACGAAGCACTTAGTGGCTCGGGCAGGTGCGAATCTAAAACTTGACGCATTGGAGCTGGAGCGAAACTAGCCCTTAATGTCAGGGCATTAAGGGCATATGCCCGTCAATCGACAGGCCTGGTGCCATCCCATCCCATCTCAGCCTGAAAGGTTTCTCCTTTCCCCTTCCCGTCGCCGCTGTCCGCATCGCGAGGATGGTTGTGTGGTTGGGGTTGGTTGGGAAGAATCCTCAGCTTCGGCTGGTTACGGCGAGCTGGAGGGAAACGCAGCCTCGGCACTGGGGAACCGGCAAGGCAAGCGAAAAGTTTCAGGCGAACACACCGCAGGGATTGGCCGGGCGGGGCGGTGTTAGACAGATAATGTTTGAACTATTTGGGGGGAAAACCGGAGGCGAGGTTCGTTGCGGATAACGGGTTATGGTGGGTTCGGAATCGCTATTACGGCGATGTTTTGAACGCTACAGTTGAAACTGCATTCACTGAATGATCTGTAATGTTATGTGAACAACAAAGACAACATTCCTTAAATTCCTTGTCTTCTTCAGGTACTTGATGTTGCTAATGGTTGTGCATCACGCCTTGGCAAATGGTGCCAGCTGGTGGATCGAGTGTTGCCCATGGAGTGTGCATAGGCAGTTGCTAATGCAGGCATGTCATGGCAAAACATACTGTTGTGCTACTGGTTGGCTGGTTAGCTGGCAGACTGGACGGATGGCAGGCTGGAGTTTTTGCCGCTTGGCTGATTAACTGGTTGGTTAACTGTCTGACCGGCTTGTGTCTGTTGAATAGCAGCTTCAGATGCAGGTGTGGCACGGCTGACAGGACAACGATTCTTTAGCAAAGAGCTCCATGGCTGGGCGTCAGCATTGAGCGATGCTGTAACTGACAGTTTGGGCACTGGCACCTCTCACACTCTTGCTATAGGTGCTAGCGTGCCATGGCATGGCTGTTGTACCTGATGTGTCTGTTTGCTGTTGTCACACCGATAACACTGCGGTTTACAGTGCTTGTGTCGTGAAGTAAGTGAACGCTTCACCGCGTGGGTGCTCTGGACCGTCACTTTCACCCCATCAAGGCTGTGTGTGCTTTACCTCACCCTCACTTGGTGCTGTGTGCGTGTGCCCTGCCATGTGGTGGAACCTCACTCGCTGTCGGTTGGCCGGTAGCAGCCAAGTGTTAGAATCTAGCAGCAGGAATGAGTGAACTAACAGGATGCAGGAGTACAAGTAGTAAACCCTAACTAGGTTGTACCCCATATGGGCTACCCCACTACAGCCTAGACAATATGCAGCACATATAGTTTGACACACCCCCATAGGCAAAGTGGGGGAGAACAAGGGGTCACACGACCAGTCAAGAGAAGCAAAACAAGCTCAGGGTGGATCACAACGTCACCACGCATTCTGAGCACAAGCAAAGGGCCACTGGGCCAGTTCACATGCAGAGATATATATGCAGCAATAACAGTACAGTGATGGCTACCTAGCAAGAGCCAGCATGCATATATATATATATGTACAGATCACAGTACAAGCAGAGACTACAGCAAGTGTGGAAACGTAGGCACAAGGCCTAACAGAGTACAAAAGCGCTGATGATCACCAGACGGAAGTGCCTTGGTGAATATGTCAGCAGTGTTGGCCCGAGTGGCCACGTGGCGAAGACGAAGCTGGCCTCGCTGCTGCAACTCTCGAGCCAGGAAGTACCGCAGAGCAATGTGCTTCGTTCTGTGCTCCAGTCTGTGCTCCTCACACAAGGCAATGGCGGCCTTGTTGTCAACGTACAGCACTGGAGGAGAACGAGGCTGCTCTCCCAAGTCAGTCAGCAGGTAGGTGAGCCAGCGTAACTCCTGTGCAGCCATGGCGGTGGCGTAGATCTCAGCCTCACAACTGGAGCCGAGAACTGAAGTCGAGCGTGTAGAACGCCACGAAACTGAACCAGAGCCAAGGCTGAAGGTGTAACCCTGTGACGACCGCTGAGTAGCCAGGTCGTCAACCCAAG